CCTGCTGACATATCTGATAATCTCTTTCGTGCAGTTGCCAACATTCTTAACTGAAAATAATTTGGTTTACCATAAATAAAATGGGGACTTGGCTTTTTGTTTCTCTGCAGAGGGAAGGTAAAGAGTGTTTATTTAATAATTACCTATCTTAAATCTTTTTGAGTTGGAAGCAGTTTCATGTTCAAGGAACAGGAAAAGCTGAAAAACATGAGTTTAAATCAATCCTTTTAAAATAGGTATTTTTATTCTTTTGTATAAATAAAGTTTCACAGGCTTTGACTTCTCATCCTTCACTTTTAAACTTGAGTTTGTTTTTTCACTTACTTATCCGTATCATGCCTTACGGAAATTTCTTTTTCCATCTTTTCTCTCTTTGATGGTATTTGCCTGATTAAATATTGCTCTAAAAATGAGTAAGGCAAATGGAAAGGCTCTAGATTGTACCCTAAGCTGATATAACGCCTGGAGTCCTTGAGCAAAGTGAATGACAGGGTCACCAAGAGGCCGCGATGCCCAGCAGATGCCCCTTCCTTTCAGGGTGGATGGGCTGAGGAGCCTGTTGATGGCTGTTACCTGCCTCTGGAGCAGCGGCCATCCACCTTGGCTGCACACTGGAATCACCTGGGATGCTTAAAAAAATACCAGTGCCTGGGTTGCACTCCCCAAGACTCTGACTCGGGTACAGCCTAGTATTGGGGATATTCATTCGAAGAGTCCCTGGCATTCTGACAAGAAACCAAGTTGAGAACCACTGCATTAGGAGACTGGATTGTTCGATTTAAATCCTATGTCATGAATCAGTCTAAGGGATAAGCTGTGGGGCCTCACCTTTCCTTTGACTCTATTTAGTCATAGTCCTTTACTTATCTCCATATCTTTGTTAGAAAAAATATGTTCCATTTGTGGCAATATTGGTAGAGCTGAAATATGGATGGCGTCTGTTATCAAAACACGTCTACCTTGTCAGATGTGCAAAAGCTTCCTCTTGTTCTCAAATAAACTTTTTTTTTTTTTTTTTGACTCTGTGGCTATTTAGATGTCTTTGCCTATGTCTTTGGTTGCAGAACTTCAGGGTTTTTTTAAGGAATTAGTTTCTTATATAGATTGTTCCTTAAAAACAAAACAAAAACTAAAGACAGTGGAAACCAGCTTTCTGTATCCTTTTTTGTCAGTCTCCTTTCCCGGGAGGGAAGGATGGGATCCCGGTGGTTTCCTTAACTCTGAGGACAGCACACAGGAAACCCGAAGATATTTCTGACTCTCACAGTTTGACTTTTGCTAGAGAGAGAGTAGGACTGCTCTTAAGAAGATATATTATTAAAAAGCATATCTATGTGTATGAATACCTCTATGTATGTGTAATTATGGTTAGAGACATGGCTTGCTTTATACATACTTTCTCTATAAAGTTTAATCATTGATTAGGAGACCTCACAACTTTCCTGTAAGTTGGCCAGACATACTGGAGATACAAGAGTCTTGAGAGATCACTTAGGTTCCCTATGTTGGGCTGGTTTAGGAAAAAATGCCGGGAGATCCCTGCCTACCATACTTGTGACATTTGCAACTTTGGCTATCAGCTAAGCTTAAGTTTGCTTGAGTTTAAAAGAGGATAAGGTTATGACCTTGATCAAGTTATTGATTAGAGGAACAACCATCCTAGCGGAGGAACACGTGTATTTAGGTGGCAGTTGCCCTCGCAGTTCCTATCTGTGACACTTGGTGGGGGTGGTCTGCTGGGTGGCCTGTGTCCTCCCATCTTAGCTGCCCCCACCAGTGACCCCTGCCCTGGAATGGCTGCCAGGACGACTGAGAAGGTACTGCCTTCACCAGCTTGGTTGGGTTTGGAATAGTACTTGGCTTCCGGTCTTTAACCTTCTCATCTCTAAGATGGGAATAGGTTGCCCTTTGCTCCTTTTGGTAGTTACAAGATATTAAAAAAAAAAAAATCCAGGCACTGTATGTCTTATCCTGGGAGGATGGTGCCTGTATAGAGCTTCCTAGGGAGTCTCAAGTACCCTCTTCCAGGAGATGAGGAAATAGCTCAAAGTGCTCTAAACACCATCAGACCCTAAAAGTTGAACACAGAGCACGGGAACAACCCACAAAGCAGGAGGTGAGAAGCCATTTGGGACCCAGGGGAGAGACGGAGGGAGGTGTTGTGAATTTGGACAGGGCTAGTGAGGGTTGAGAGCATGGCCTGTCGAAGCTGCTGTCCCCATCCTGGGGGCCTCCGGAGTGCTGTAGGAAATTGATCCATAATTAGGTTAAACGTTTACCCTATAATGGAGTTTATTCTCTTTGCTTAGAAGAAAATCCCTTGCTGTGAAAGAGGAGGGAGCAGGCGTTAGCGTTATTTCCGACTCCAGGATTGAGCCTTTGGGTGCTGGGGTAACGTAAGTACCCTGTAAGTATGTATTCTAAAGAGAGTATTCTTGACTGCTTGACCTGTGTGCTAAGTAAGGGAACTGAAACAAGTATTAAATGGCCTAAGCTTGAGAGCAGTAAGTATGCTGTTTTGAAACACTGTGTGACTTAGTTTTTGCTTTTATTCTGACTCCTCTGCCCCTTAGTCTTACTCCAAATTACTGAGGCATCATTACACTTTAAAAACTCACATCGGGGGCTTCCCTGGTGGCGCAGTGGTTGGGAGTCCGCCTGCCGATGCAGGGCACGCAGGTTCGTGCCCCGGTCCGGGAAGGTCCCACATGCCGCGGAGCGGCTGGGCCCGTGAGCCATGGCCGCTGAGCCTGCGCGTCCGGAGCCCGTGCTCCACAACGGGAGAGGCCACAACAGTGAGAGGCCCGCGTACCGCAAAAAAAAGCAAAAATAACTCACATCGGAAGCCCGACTGGGGATGCTGCACTGGGGGAGCAGGACTGCGCTCTGCACACATTTGCTTCTCCCAGGCTGGGGTTGTATTGAGTCCCTGCGAGGGCGATGTGCCTAGAAGGTGCAGAGATAAGAAGAAGACGGGGCTGAGGTTCTCATTCCTGTGTTAATCCAAATTAACATTATCAGGCCTGAATTTTATAAGTGGTAAGCTTCATGATTTGAAACAGTTTTCCTCACTGAGATGGGCTGTGGCGGAGTTGATTCTGATCCCCACTTCAAAGGCTGCTGGTCTCCAAGGGGAGGGGTTGGGGGCTGGGATGAACACAGCAGGCTTTTGGTTTATATTTACTTTCTGGCTCAGCCTTACTTAGTTCCTCACTTTCTGTTATATAATATGCAGAAATATTCATTCATTAGTACATGTAAGATAATTTGTAAATAAATATTAGGTTGAACCACAAGCAGTCAACCATTTTGATCTTCCCAAATGGCAATTATCATCACACATGTTGGGGGTAGGTGTGCACCTTTTCACCATTCGTGTACAAGAATAAACATTAGCTGGGAATTCCCTGGCGGTCTCGTGCTTAGGACTCCGTGCTTGCACTGCTGTGGGCCAGGGATTTTTCCCTGGTTGGGGAACGAAGATGCCATAATCTGCGTGGTGCCAAAAAAAAAAAAAAAAAAAAAAAAAAAAACATTAGAGACCCCTGGCCACTACAGCCCTCCTCAGATCCCCATCCCCACCCCCATAACTTATTTCTCTACCCAAGGGTGCTTTAAAATATCTAATCTGGGGCTTTCCTGGTGGCACAGTGGTTGAGAGTCCGCCTGCGATGCAGGGGACACGGGTTCGTGCCCCGGTCCGGGAAGGTCCCACATGCCGCGGAGCGGCTGGGCCCGTGAGCCATGGCCGCTGAACCTGCGTGTCCGGAGCCCGTGCTCCGCAACGGGAGAGGCCACAGCAGTGAGAGGCCCGCGTGCCACACACACACAAAAATCTAATCTGAATAAGTAATACATGCAAGTGGCATATATTCAAATGGTACTGAAGTGCGGTCAATGAAAAGTCAGTCCATCTGCCCCTCTGCTCCCAGTTGTCCTTCCCGGAGACAGTTTCCTGTGTATCCTTCCAGAAGAACCTTGTACATTCGTGAGCAACATGCACACATATGTGTGTCTATTACTGAAATGGGAGCATACTTTTTACAGCTAGTAATATAGCTTAGAAAATGTTCTATAAATGCAGCGGCCTCGTTTCTGTTGGCTACCTGATACTCCATTACATTTGTTACCAAAATCTATCTAGCCCGGTCCTCTACTGATAGTGTTAATGTTATTTCCCATTTTTTGCTGTTTCAGACAGTGTTGTGGTGCATTACACACATCATTTTGCAAACACAATGCTTAGCGGTGGGATGGCTGAGCCAAAGAGTTGAAATACGTGGAACTCACTGTGACTTTATCTTCCATATCACTTTAAAAATAGGAATACAGGGACTTCCCTGGTGGCGCAGTGGTTAAGAATCTGCCCGCCAATGCAGGTGACACAGATTCAATCCCTGGTCTGGGAAGATCCCACATGCTGCGGAGCAGCTGAGTCTGCGAGCCACAACTACTGAGCCTGCGCACCCTAGAGGCCGAGCGCTGCAACTACTGAAGCCCGCGTACCTACAGCCCATGTTCCACAGCAGGAGAGGCCACCGCAGTGAGAAGCCTGCGCACCGCAAAGAAGAGGAGCCCCCCGCTTGCCGCAACTAGAGAAAGCCTGTGCTCAGCAACGAGGACCCAGTGCAGCCAAAAAAAAAAAAAAAGGAATACAAGTATTTCTTTCTCCTTTTCCTTTCCTCCCTATTCATCCA